TCCTTCCTTCCTTCCTTCCTTCCTTCCTTCCTTCCTTCCTTCCTTCCTTCCTTCCTTCCTTCCTTCCTTCCTTCCTTCCTTCCTTCCTTCCATTAAGCAACCTTTAGGGCTTAATTTAAAAATAAGGTATTTATTTGTAGGGCTTTAGAAAATAATTAATCATCAGCCCTGTTGATTGGAAAGAAAGTCTTCCATATGTGGTAGCTTTCTTGAATCTGAAAGTAGCTTGAAACAGTGGTAGGAAATAGAAAGAAAAAAAAAAAGACAGAAAGAAATGGTTCTCCTATTCAACTGAATGAAGTTAACTTTCAGTTCGAAGATATAAAACTGACTTACTAGTTGTCTAGACTGTGCTAGATGAGATAGATTTTTATATATACTAACATCTACATCAGTGACTAGCAAGGAGAAGGAGAGGACTAGTGACTCACCAGATGCTGCATAATGACATTTTTTCAATCTTGGGGAAAGAATTTCTGCAAACTGCAGAATGTTTTTTCAGCCCAGGAAACAGCAGAGATCAAAATCCAAGAATGTTGTCATAAACTGAAAGGAGTTTTCAGCTTAAATTCATAGATGGGCACAGCTGATCGCTCTGGTGCATATCTCAGGCATTTGTAGAAATTTTGGGTATCTTGATGATCTTGCACTTACCTGTTTAGTTTAGTTCAGTTTAGTTTAGTGATCAAGACTGCTTATGTCTTGACCAAATCATTTTTCAGCAAGTCAGTATTGTGAAAGGACAATATTGTAACTCGTGCAAAGAGAAAGAAGAGAAGGCTGGGAGAAAATATTCTGATTCAAGATAAGTAGATAACTACAAATTAAAGGAGTTCAATTATCCTAGTTCATAACAAGATCTGACTTCAGAACTAATTCATTTTGTATTGAATGAGGGAAGCCCATTTCACATTTCTTCTTCATTCCATGCACACTAAAATGCAAGTGTGTTCACTTGCACTCACATGAACACACATGAGCATACATAGGGGCTACAGGGCAGGCTGACCTACTGCAGATAAACCTGAGAGAAGCAGCAACAGCAGTTATGTGATGCAGCATTTAAATACCTTTAGATACCTTCCCTTCAAAGCAGAGCTTGCTTGTCCTCCACACTTTCATTTTTTCAGCCCACTCATTTATAGGCAGCTGCCACCAAAGAATGTATGTCAGGTCTAAGCCTTGAGTATTTTCTCTCTAGTCACATGCTTATAGCAGCACACAGAGGCACATGGGCACATCAAGTTATAGTAGACATCAGTGGGAAGCTGCTGCATGCATGTTCTTTGGTACATAGTTTGTAAGTTGTGTAGACTAAAGTTGTGGAGACAGACTTGAAGGGAGACATCTCCAACATTGATAAAATGTAAGTACGAAAGACACGTCATTGGATGGATATTGATGATGTTATTTCCGTAATGACATCATCCATAGACTCCTAGTGTCTTTGCTTTGCTTCTCTATAGTGATCACAACATAAATTGCTTGTCTTGTTTGACTTCCTTGTTCACCAAAGTTGAGCAGATTGTGGCCGTTTTCAACGCTTCTACCAGACAAAAAGCTTGGGACCATTTCTCGAAAGCCCAGCGAAAGAACATAGACATTTGGCGAAAGCATTCTGAGGTTGGTGATTTTATTATTACTTTCTATCCATCATCTCACAGCTGGATTGACACAGAACGAGTGTGATTGTAGCTGGACATAGTGCATTCAGCAATATTTATGGCTACAGTTTTAGCTGTTAATCAACTAGCCATTATACAATCTCATCTGCCATATGAATTGCTCCCATTGCTCTCATTACAATAATAGTCATTAAATAACACTAAGATAGAGAGCAATGTGTTTTTATTTTCCAGGCAAGAATTGCAAAAACATTGGAGGAATATGTTTACTATCTAACATAATGAAGTGATGAAATTAGTTACAATATTTAAATTAAGGATAGCATTAAGTCTTTCAAATATGAAAAATAAGTTTTGAGGAGTCATCATGATCTGGTTTTAAAAGTATTCTTCTATAACACGGATTCTTTTTGTGGTTGTACTATTACATGGTCATTATAAGATGACTTTGCTCAAAAAGAGAAGTGGTATTTCTTTCATAAAATAATGAATTAAGCGTATCTGTCCAGAATTATGGTGTACTCCTTCCCACTTGTTTTATGTCCTTCCCTAAAAGGCAGATCAATCACTTATATGGATTCTAAGTGTATTGCTTACAAACAAAAAAGTATAAATGCAATCATAAAACAACATAAAATTAGCAATGTGGGTTCATGAATGTGTGACTGTCATAAGCATGTGCAGAGGAAATGGGTTTCTACCTCTCCTTGCCGTGAGTGGCAGCAAAGGAAGCGATTGTCCCCATCTTGTGTTTTGGTCATCCAGCTTTCGTTTTTAATTCAGTATTTACGCTATGAGCCTGTATTTTAAAAAGTAAGTACCACTGTCTTTGTTTTCTTTCTTTCATCTTCCTTTCTATTATTTTGAATATGGACAATTTACATACACCTGGCTTACCTTCAGGTAGTACAGTATGTTAATTTGTAGTATCACAGTCCTGTAAATGATTTCTCTCTGACTCAGAATAAAAACTTTAGAAGGTAAGGTGCACTTATTTAATTATTTTGTAGTACACTTGTAAAATAAGTGTTGTACACTTACTTTGAGAAAAAAAACTAAAGTGCTGTGATATAAATCATTTGGATAACATTTTAAGTGCCCATTAACTAATGCTAAATTACAGTTGAATACCAATGGCACTAACTGTAACATCCACATGAATACCAAATGAATTCTTTATTATCAGTGCTATTATGGCAAATACCAAATGATTTCACAATAATGGGACACTTAAAATAAAATGTTAGCATAATTTATTGGTATAAACTATACTTTGCGTTTTGTTCACAAATATTTCAAAAAAGTAGTGGCTAAAGTCTTGTTTAACAGAAAATTGGGGAATTTGGAGGCTGATATTTATCTTATCTTTTAGAAAGGTATGAAAGTGTGACTTGCTGGTAGTTTATATCAATTATATTAAAAACATTCCTTCTTAATCTAACTTCTTTGTGAAGGGATACGGAATATCACTCATTTGCTTGCTTCTAAGTCTTTAATAAAGGGAAACATATGAGAGTTGGACTTTCCATAAATGTTAATTCACTACTTGCTCTTTCAAACATTATTGCCTTTTCTTTTTCTATCAAAAGGATACTAAAAAGCAATTCAAAAATATATGAAACCTCTAGATGAATATTTCAGGAATGCCTGTTTTCCAGATGTGAAATATAATTGATAGATATCAAATGATATCTTTAACTTAAATCATATTGTCTAACCATGACATTATCTGCTATTTTGTTTAATTTGTTAAATTTATCACCTTCCCTTCCTGCTTTAGAAAAGCTTTGCTAGAAACCCAACCACAAAACAAGCCCTCATCCACGAAGTTATTCCTTATGAAAGCTTTTCTGATAATGTAGAAATGGATGCATCAAAAACATTTATCTGCTCAAAAAGGAATAAATGTAAGTGGGTATCTGCTCACGTATGCAGCCCAGGAGAAAAGTGCAGGGGGCCTTTTACAACGAGAGATTAAAAGTGGTTTGCTGATTTCTTCCAGAGATGCCTGTTATTGTCCAGTGGACAATTTACCATTTCAATAACTTTTTTTTTTTTTTTTTTTAATTTGAAATTATCCCTGTACAAAACGCCCATCTTTGCTGTGACAAATGGATACATCCATATTTATTAGAGCATTTCAGCTCTGATGAACCGAGGGTAGAGCTTAAGGGAAACACCTTCCCCTTTTTCCTCCCTGCATTCCCTCTTTGATGGCTCGCTGCTAATTGCACGGAACAATAGTTGGACTCTTCAGATGTTTCCCTCCTTCCCCTTTTTCCTCCCTGCATTCCCTCTTTGATGGCTCGCTGCTAATTGCACGGAGCAATAGTTGGACTCTTCAGATGTTTCCCTCCTTCCACGCGCCTCTTCCTTGTTTCAAAGATTGCAAACCTCCTCTTTGGGAATTAGGCTCTTTGTCGACAGAAAAATTAGCTGTCCGTGGACTCAAAAGGCCGACACTAATCACGGTGCAACCTCCTCGTGTTACACCTGACAGGATTGTTAGGGCAAAATAGGATTCTCTCCATCATCTCCCTGCTGCCATTAAAAAAAAACAGCCATTAGCCCAGCACCAGCCTTTTTCACCTAGAACAAAGACCGTCTAGACTCCCACAAAGCCCACGTGCCTGCTGATCTTTACCTAGTTAGGTATGTACAGGCTTCCTCCTGCTTTCAGAAACGGAGCTGTTAGCACTCGTATTTGTTTCAGATCACGATGTAGAAATTTCCTGGACAGTGTTATTGGGCTGAGTCTTTTCAATCTGAGGAAATCTTTTCTTTTTTCTTTTTTCTTTTTTCTTTTTTCTTTTTTCTTTTTTCTTTTTTCTTTTTTCTTTTTTTCTTTTCTTCTTCTTTTTCTTTGCTTTTTTTTTTTTTTTTT